GTTAGTGCATGAAACTATCCACCGGTTATGACTTGTATCCCCCCCCCCCCACCCTAGGAAAAGCATGAAAAACACGAAAAACATGGGGATGTCAAGCTCACCTTGGTATTTTCATGGGTTGTAGGGAGTAAATGAAGATGATGTCGAGCTAATGATGAGGTTGACGATCTTGAAGAGCTTCTAGGAAAGGTTGGCACTTTGAAAACTAACTCACAAAAATGTGTGTGTAAGCAAGATGAATTTGACAACCAAATATATGCAAATACTTGAGATTTATGAAGAACTTACCAAATCAACACTAGGACCGACTTTGAGGTGATGATGCTCGAAAATGGCTTTGTTCTTATAGAGATAAGGTAAGTAATGAGCAAAAGGATTCAATTGGAAAGAGTGGGATGCCCACTCTCGGCCGAAACCCCTTTAAATAAGTGGTAAAGTTGCTTGGTTAATGTTTGATGGATTATTAAGGATCATGCATGGATACATGAATTATAAGAGCTTGCATGGGGTGGAAATATGAAGGATAATGGGATGTAAAGTAATGAGATGTAACTTCATTAATAACTTTTTTTTCCTTTTTTTTTACCAAATTGTAAACCGAAGCCCCATGAGGTTTTCGGCTTTTAGGGACTATCAATTAGGGTTTTCAGTTTTAGGGTGCCCGAAAACACTCAACGCCCACTCAAGGTTTTTGATTTTAATGATGTGGTTTCACAGGCTTACTATGGCCCATTAGGGAGGTTTTCGCCCTCAATATGGTCCAATAGAAGAGTTTTCGGCCAAAGGAAAGCCCAAAGAAAAGGGTTTTCGGTCTAGGGTATTTGGGCTGAGAATTTTAAGCAAAAGCCCAAAATTTGATTTTTGTTTAGTTATTAGATCAACTTGGGCTTACAAGAGGTCATTACTACTTGATTGTATGCATGCATGTACATATAACATTGCCATTTCTTATTTTCAATAGTTTAATGCAACAAGGTTACATAGAGGAATTATTTGTACATGAATCACATTCTCAACCCTAAATTTACCAGTTGTGACATAGAATACCGTGGCAACCTTTAATATATCATCAAGTTCACTAAATAAATCCCTCAACCAAATGACTTCCTTAACTGCTTATGTAATCGCGATAAACTCTACCTCGGTAAATGAAAAAGCATCTGAAGACTACAATTAGGATTTCCAATTGATAGCACAACCATGCAAATTAAACACATACCATGTAATCGATCTTCATTTATCCAAGTGTTTGCCATAATCTGAATCCACATATCCAAGCACCCTAATGTTTTCCATAATCCGAATCCACATATCCAAGCACCCTAATGTTAGATTTACCAAAGTGTAAACACACAGAAGACGTACCATGAAGATAACGAAAGATCCACTGCACTGCTTTCTAATGTTCTTTTCCCGAGTTTGCCATATATCTACAAGCCATGCTAACAACATAAGCTAAAATTGAGCGTGTGGAAATAATAGCATAAATCAAGGATCCGACATCACTAGAGTATGCTACGCATTCCATATAAGCCACATCAGTCTCAGTAGTAGGACTCAAAAGAGATGATAACTTGAAATGAGTTGCAAATGGTATGTTGATAGGTTTTGCTTCATGCATATTGAAGTGTCTTAGAACTTTCTCAATGTAATTTTCTAAGACAAATGCAAGATCCTAGACTTCCTGTCACAAACAATTTCCATTCCTAAAATCTTTTTGGTAGCTCCTAAGTCCTTCATTTCAATTTAAGCTTTCAATTGGTCTTTCAATTTTTGAATCTCCTCGTCCTCCTTATACCATTGTCTAGGAGACTGCTTGAGGCCATAAAGAGATTTATTCGATTTACACACATCGTCCTCCTTACCAGGAACTACAAAACCCTCATGTTATTGCATAAAATTTCTCTTCCTCAAGCACACCATTTAAGAAAGTTGTAGTAACATCAAGTTGCTCTAATTCATTATCATTAGAAGCAACCAATCCTAACGATACAAGGATATTTGAATGTTTAACAATTAGGGAATAAATATCGGTATAATTAATACTAGGAATTTGACTATAGCCTTTAGCTACAAACCGAGCTTTATACCTTGGTTTCTCATCCGAGTTAACAGGTTCCTTGAGCTTGTAAACCCACTTGCATTTAAGTATTTAAGATGTACGCTAGGTAGGTATGGTGATGTCTCACTAGAGCATTAACGGATTTATGTGAACTACAATTTGGTGTATAACAAAATCATTTCACTATTTTAAAATTCATGACAGTTGTTTTATTACGCGCATTTTATGAGTTTTATGACATATGTTTTATGACATGTGTATTATGATAGGCGAACTATACTGTCATCATTTTGGTTTATATGTTGTTTTGTGTAGACTATTTATAAAATTGTATATAAATAGTCAATAATAAATATGTCTAGTAGTAACATAGTGACAACATAGTTACAACTATTTTTACTAGAAAAGTTTGTTTCCAAATCTTCCGCGGAGAGGCTGGCAGAGTTGTGCGTTAGGGAGGTGGTATCGCGGCATGGAGTACCGATCGTCTCAGATCGAGATGTGTGTTTCACTTCCAGATTCTGGAATAAATTTCATGAGGAATTGGGTACGAGGCTGCATTTTAGTACCGCATACCACCCACAGACTGACGGACAGAGCGAGCGGACGATTCAGATGCTCGAGGACATGCTTCGGGCCTGTGTACTGGATTTCGGCAAGAGTTGGGACACGTATTTCCCTTGGCTGAGTTTTCCTATAACAATAGCCATCATTCGAGCATTGGTATGCCACCTTTTGAGCTGTTGTATGGAAGAAGGTGTCGGACCCCCATTTGTTGGGGTGAGGTTGGGCAACAGGTGATGGGTAGTACAAAGATAGTGCTTCAGACAACATAGCAGATACAGCTGGTCAGATAGAGGTTATTGACCGCTCATAGTCGCTAGAAGAGTTACGCGGATAGGCTTCGATCGAAGCTCGAGTTTCAGGTCAGGAATCTTGTGCTCCTGAAGGTGTATCCTTGGAAAGGAGTGATCCGTTTCAGGAAGAGGGGAAAGTTGGAGCCCCGGTATATTGAGCCGTTTAGGATGATCGCGAGGGTGGGCAGAGTAGTATATCGTTTGGATTTACCTGTGGCGTTGGACCAGATTCATGATACCTTCCACGTGTCACAGCTGAGGAAGTGTATAGCCGATGAGTCGGAAGTGGTACCATTAGAGGATATCCAGGTGGACGCGAGTCTGAATTATCCTGAGAAGCCAATCCTAATCTTGGATCGGAAGATCAAGGTTCTGAGGAGCAAGGAAGTGCCCCTGGTGCAGGTCCAGTGGCAACATCAGAAAGGGTACGAGCTGACTTGGGAGCCGGAGTCAAAGATGTGGGAGCAGCATCCGAAGTTGTTTTTGACATGAGACTTTGAGGGCAAAGTCTGATTCTAGTAGGGGAGAATTGTAACATCCAGGGTTTGGGACTCAGCGAGTCCACTCTATTTAATGAAACCCTAATCCTCAGGATTTGGGACCCATTTAAAGGGGCTTATAGCCACCATTTGCGGCTACCAGACCCCTGAGAGGAACCCTAAGAGATTTAGAGCGTTTATGAGGAAGAAGAGGTCATTTTTGACCTTTGTATGGGTGTTTTTGCAAGAAGAAAGTGGCCAAGGCAAGAAGGAACTAAAGAGGGCGATATTATGTGGATTTCAGAGGCTATGGACTTCATTCTGAGGTATATATTTCGATCCTTCTTCAGTTTGGTGTTAATCTTTGAGAGTTAGGGTTTCTAGCCCCTTTAGAGTATGGATTGTGGTGCAATTGGTCCCTTCTTGTGTTAAGACTTTGGATCTAGATCCAAAGTGGTCCAGAGACCTTAACTCCTCGCTCTTTATGAGTGTCTTTGGGAGATAAGAGTTTGGGATGGCATATTAGGTCCTTTTCTTCAAATAGAGCCATTAGGTCTTTGCATGGGCATCAAGATCCAAACTTTACGTGTTTATTTGGCTTAAGGAGGCCAGATCTAAGGGTTAGAGGAACGGATCTGACCTCAGGAGGTCATTTGAGTTTGAGCATGGCTTGAACTCGCCGAGTCCAAGAACAGACTCGGCGAGTAGGATGGATTTTCCCCCATAAATCACGCAGATGGTAACTCACTGAGTTGGGGAAGTGACTTAGTGAGTCATTTGGGATTTTAAGGATGTGAGTTCATGACTAAACTCCCTGAGTCACAATTGTGCACTCGGCGAGTCTGGTCAAAGGGTTGACCGTTGACTTTTGTTGACATTTAGGGTTTGGTCAACTTTAGAGTATTTGAGCCTTGAGAGGGGTAAATGGTCTTTTACCCTGCAAATAGTGCTAAGAGAGGGAATGGTCTAGCCTTGGGAAATGTATTGATGCTGAGTGTTTATTTTTGTATGATTAGGCGGAGGCTAGATCCTATTTCACAGAGTCCTAGATTTCCGAGTTACCGAGTTACACGAGGTGAGTCTTCTCACTATACGTTACCTAAAGTGGTATTATGAGTTGACCGGAAGGTCTTATATGCTATGTATGAGATTGTGTGTTGTGTATGAAATTATGTGCTATGTGATATATGTATCTTATATTTTGGTATAGAGCAGACCGGAGGGTCCAACGATACAGACTGGACCGGAGGGTCCAACGATTTAGACCGGGCCAGAGGTCCCAACGAGCTATGGGACTGGAGGGTCCCGCTGAGACATATCGGCCGGAGGGTCATACAGTAGTCTCGAGTGGCGTATGTGTTGTATGTGGTATTTTGGGGAACTCACTAAGCATTTATGCTTACAATTGTTGTGTTACGTGTTTCAGGTACTAGCGAGGACCGTAGAAAGGCGTCGGGGTGAACCATACGCACAGAGAGGGAGATTTGATTGTGATCATGGGATATGTTTGATTTGATAACTACTGTGGAATACTTTTTGAGAATGTTCTACAATTAAATTTGGTTGTTGAAAAATAAAAATTTTGTTTTGAAAATCTCGTCGTTACACTTTCACAACAGTAATTTTGTTCACAAACCAAGTGTCATATTGGGGCTTCATGTGCTTTAAGTAGAAGGAGAACATCATGTGATTAGCACCACTGTCTGTATTAAGAGCACCCGCAACCTTCACGAAAGCCCGAAACCTGAATTCTTTAGGAGTGATCAGAAGATCCAGTTGCGAGTCTTGAGAATTTTGAAGATCGAAGGATGCAACCGGATCTAACCAATACTGGCTGGGCAAATCCTCAGCGTCAGGTTGAATTCGCTTCAGGGTCCACTCAGGAAATAGTAGCATTTTGCTTTTAAGTGTCGCATGAGCTTCCCATTCATCCTTTTCTTTCTCCTCAGCCTCCTTGACAATTTGTTATGTTTCATTCAACTCAGCATCACAAACCTTCCATCTTTTAAGCTCGGCTTCATTAGGCTCCTCGTCTTCTTCATTGTCGATTATGGGCTCTTCATCAATTATTTTCTCCTTGCCCTTAGGTTCTTTCTTGAAAATGGTATTTACAGGGGATTTAGGAGATTCGTTTCCTGATACATCTTCTCCCCCTTGTTTTGGATCAGAGCTCTAAGGCGAAACACCCTCCAGTTTGTGAAGCATCACAAATACTGGACGTAGTTTTTCATCCAAATGCATTCAAACTGTTATTGAAATCATTAGATCTCTCATCTTAATGATATCTCAAAGTAAGCTTGCAACATCTGAAATACAACTTTGCATAACGGTCTTCTAGGATAACAAATCCTTGAACTTCTTCTCAGCATTTTCCAGTTTAAGCCCCAACAGTTTAACCTTCTCTGTCTTCCTAGCAAGAGCATCCATCACTTAACTGTCCATCACCAAATCATCAGGAATTTTTGTGATCTGTGAGGTGATGGTGGTTTGAAACATTTCATGATCCATCTTTAGGCCAGTGCGAAGATCATGCCAATTATCCTTCTCATTTTTAAACAAGGAACCTCGTGGAAACAGTGTAGTAGTTGTGAGTGGTTTGGTATGTTTCCATAGATGTTGTGGTGTCAGAAATTCGTTTATTGACTTTTTCGGTCATGGTTTTGTAGACTTCAACATAATCATACACAACCTTGTTCATCTTTACAATATTGGTTGTAAGTTCCTTTGTGATGCGCTCAAATAAAGATTCAACCGTTGTATTTGAATACGCTTCAGAAGAGGAAGCCTTTGAAGCAAGAAGCAGCTGGTCATTCTTCTCATGAAGAGAATTAAGCTTCCATTTTGTGATAGTGGATTCATCTTCACTTTCAGTCCTTATCTGAAACAGACTATAGGTGAATCTGCTAAGATCTTCATTGTCATCATCATCCCCAAAGATTATTTATGGATCATCATTGCGAATAAGAGAGATGGGAGGCGAAATATGGGTTGAAAATCCTGAAGATTGAGCCCGTTGACTGAAACTGAGGAGTGGCTGAAGTAGTGGGTGGGATTGTAGAATCAGTGAAGATCGGAGTAGAAAGTGAAATAGTGGTTTGTTGTGATGAAGAAATGGGTGGAGGACAGGGTGCAATGGTTATGGGTGTTGAAGTAGTTTTAGGTGAGGGAGGAGGAGAAGGAAAAGATACATTGAAAGATTGGTTTACCTCGTGGTTCGTAGTCTCTCCTTTGTTGCGAATAGGAGACTCCTCTTTGCGAATATGTTCTACTTCTTCATTGTGAATAGGTTGGTCTTCTTCAATACAAATTTTTGATTCAGTCTCAAAGTCTGAACCTTCATTTGCACTTGGAGTGGGAGACTTTCTCTTGCGAGCAGGTTGTTTTCTTCGTTTAGGTATAGCAATAAAAGACGATGTTGGTGCCTTTCGCTTTTTAAGTGAAGATTTCGCAGTATCTGAAGGACCTTTCTTAGCAGCAGTTTTCTTCTCCCCTTTCTTAGAACCCTTCCCCCTTTTCTTGGGTTTATCCGTAGCATCAATGGTTGCCTGCATTTCCGGAGTAAGAGGACGAAACCCCGAAGGAGTAAGTTTATGAAACCCTTCCAGAATTTTGCTTGAAGCCAACACAACGTGAAACAGAGAAAGCAAGAGCATCTTTTATCATCGATGATAATCCTTGTTGTATGGAAAGTTGAAACAGAGAAAGCAAGAGCATCTTTTATCATCGGAATGTTATGCTTGATGATAGCGCTTCGAACAATCTGGTACCAGAATCGTGCACATGATATTTCAGTGTGACGAGTTGTTGAGAGAGTGCTCTGTATCACCTGAGCCCAGAGAACCACTCTGAAATCCACATTCAATCTTGTATAGATGCCATAGAGAAGAGTCAAGAACAACTTACTAGCATAGTCTGACCCTATTATCCTTTTAGACAACCCTGTGAACGAAAGAGTAAATAAGGCATTCCATTTTGGGGTAGATTTGGTTTCCGGAATTTTGAGACATACGATAGAGTCTCCTTATACCCCATCTGATAGAACATCTCCAAAAGTGCAGCATTGGAGATTGATTCCGGCTTGATCATGTCTTCTAATTGAGGAAGCCCTAGGAGTAAACAAAATATGGATTTGGTGATTGATGTCTTCTGATTATGAATGTTGAAGATAATTTTGTTTTCGTCCTTGATGTAGCTTGCTGAAGAATATGCATTGGATAGTAAGGACATCGGAACATCCTCCATATTTGTTTGAGCATGAACCAGTGGAGAATATTTGAGACACTCCACAATCGGCAGAAGATAGGGCTCATACTCGTAGGGCTCCAGATCGATGATTAGATTCTAGTTGGGTTTTTACAGTTAGAAGAGTAAAATGAATGGTTTGATCATGAGCTGATGATGAAGTAGCCATTGTTGAAAGCTTGAAGAAGGAGATGAACAGTAGAGAGTGTTTTGTATTCCGGATATCTTTTTAGAGGATTTTGAAAGTGATAATGAGAGAGGAACCGTCAAAACCTTTATGTACCATTCGATTTGTGAGGAAAATCTGGAGAGACAATGCATCAGGTACTGAAACGTCGCCTAAAAAAGCACTACTTGACAACTGTAGATGTTAGACTCAAGCGTCATACGGTGGAAAAACAGCTAGGCGTTCAAAATTTTTCACGAGTCCTTTTGAATTCTTATCATCAGAAATTGTTGTGTCATCATCCACCTTTCACAGTTAAACATGCTTTGACCCATCAATTACGAACCTTCGTTTTTGAAAACTTGGGCTACACTACGAACCTGAAAGTAACATTAAGAACAACGAACAAGACTTTTGGAAGATCACAAGGACCTTCGTGCAAGAGTGTCAAAGATAAAGAAATAAATAAAAGTATAGCTGGGAAATCTTGTGATGTCTATATTAAGAAAAAAAAATTGCGAATCCCGGGCATAAATCTCTTCCTTCAAAGTCAAGAGAGACTATGAAGTGTCTAGGTGGTTTCCCGTTGAAATACGATCACGTGTTTGATAAGAAACATTGAAAGGCATCTTTTAATTTGGCTCATAGGGTGGTTGACTCTCCAACCAAACAACGAACTCAATATAAGTACGAATGTCGGATGAAGTACTCATGTAACCAGTGTAGTTAGTTGAACGAGTAGATTTGGAATTATTTTAGTGACTAGACGAAAGTGTGAAATCTCAAAAAAAAACAAAAAAAAAACAACTGGATCTTATGGGAAGAAGTGACTTGCTGAAAGAACACTTCATAAAGATATCGCAACAAAAGAGATTTCTTGTTACAAACCACGAAGGTGGCTTTCGTTAATTCCATGGTGAAAATCTAGAATGGTTAATTGTTCACCGTTAATGCATGTAAGTGTGTTGAATTTTGGGTTTCACTCAGTTCGTGGTGAATGAAGCTAAGATCATTAACACAGATGTTTTGTAACCATAAACCTCAGTGGGATAGCTGAGAGTCTCAAGGGTTACATTTATGCGTATGAAGGCTAATGGAGAAAAGTGAAGGTGGTTCCAAAGAAGTAAATGTAGCTCTGCTATGCGAATATGACCAAGCAGATAACTCTTAACTCAAGATGTGAAGAGTAAGGTAGCTCGTGACTAATGTGAAGTTAACAGCCTAGTTTAGAAGAAACGAATGGTAGATTATATTCATTAAGGCTTCACATAGAGTCTATTGAGGCTTCGGACAACATGCAGCAACATGCTTCGAGGGATACTTAGCTAATACATAGATAAAGAGAGTTATACCTGCCCCTTCACATGAATTGAGATTTGATACGAATCTGTGCCTCCATGATTTTTTTAAGGTATTTTTGATAGTTTTGAACTTTGCAAGAAACAAATAAATAAAACAAACACAAATAAAATATTTTTGTCTTTTGTGATTTTCTGAAAAATAATTAAAAATAGAAAAGATTAAAAACAGAATAAAGTTAAGCAATAATATACATAAAGTACAAAGGATATTTGAAAAATCTAAACCACGAATGAACAGTAGACTGCGAACTACTACGAATGGTCGCACCGATTTGCAGTGTTAAAGTAGACTACGAATGAACAGTGGACTATGAACTACTGCAAACATTCGCACCGATTCACAGTGTTAAACATTATATGTGCGAAAGTGGCTTTGGAACAGATTCAGCTTCCATCATTCCAAGGCCTTGAAGGATCCTATTGAAGCTTGTTTCAGGTAAGGCCTTTATGAATATATTAGCCAACTGATTAGAAGATCTAACGAAATGAATTTCAACATTGTCGTCTACTATGTGATCCTTGATGAAATGGTACCTCAATGCTATGTGTTTTGTCTTTGAGTGTTGCGTTGGGTTATGACATAGGAATTGCATTTTCAGAGTCACAAGAAAGAGGGATTCGTTTCATACTCAAGCCATAATCACGAAGCTGGCTTCGAATCCAAATAACGTGAGATGTGCATGAAGCCACAACTATGTATTCAACATCCTCTATTGATAACGAGACGCATGTTTACTTCTTGGATTGCCAACTAACTAATTTTCCATTAATAAATTGGCATCCACCAGTCGTCCTCTTTCTATCTAAACCAAATCCACCAAGGTAGGCATCTGAAAATGCTTGAACAAAGAAGCATCAATTCGCAGGATACCATATGCCTAAAGATGAAGTTCGTTTTAAGTATCTGAAAATATTCTTGACCGCCACCATGTAAGGTTCACGAGGACTTACTTGGAACCTTGCACAATAACAAATGGAAAACATAATATCCGACTTACTAGATATTAAAAACATTAAGGAACCAATCATCTGACTATAAAGGGTCATATCAGCAGCTGGTTTTTCCTGAGATGGTGTCAGTTTTGTTCCAAATGCCACTGGAACCTTCACTTTAGAGTCTCCCGCCTTGCCAAACTTAGAGAGCAAAGTCTTCGTATATGCTTCCTGATTTATGAAAATACCTTCTGGTCCCTATCTTATATTCAATCCAAGGAAAAAGTTAATAGGACCCATAGAGCTCATCTCAAATTTAGTTTCCATCAACTTTTGGAATTCAGCAGTTAAGCTGGGATTAGTAGAACCGAAGATGATGTCATCAACATCAATGTGGACAATCATCAAGTGGTCACCCTCTTTCTTGCGAAAGAAGGTTGGGTCAACCGAACCTTGTTTAAATTTAGACATATTAAGGAAATGAGTAAGAGTTTCAAACCAGACTCTCGGAGCTTGCTTCAGTCTGTAGACTACCTTATCCAAAATGTAGCAGTGATTGGGATACACTACTAGAAAAACAGCCTTTTACGACGCGCAAACCACGAGACTCATTGATTTATGTTACGCAAAAGAGCGTAACGTTAAAAAAGTGTCATCTCTTCAAAAAAATTATGGATTTACGTCACGCATTATTGCGTGCCCTTAAATTAGTGTCTCATGTAAAAATATAAAAAACACGGAGGGCACTTGTGCGTCCTCTAGAATTGTCACTTTATATTTTTTGTAAGAAACGCGCGTCTTCGAGGGAAAATGAAATCCCAAATTTTTTAAACCCCCAACTTCTTCTTCCTCATCTCCACCCCTCACCCACATCCACTGCCTCCAATCGTAGTTGCCTCTTCTAGCCTCAAACTGCAACGATGCACCTTCTTTCTCGAAGAATGCTTTATTTACCACCATCGTCCGATTATGTGAGCCCAAGGAATTGATGGAGACGAAGAAGATTATGGATCAATCGCTTCACATCATGTTTAAGGTTAAGGGTTTGAGATTTCTTCCAAATCTACCCTCACACTAAATGGTTTGATCTCCTCTTTTTTTTACCTGGTTCCCTACCACCATCGATGTTGATCTTTGAATTAGCAACAAGAAGCCCTAGGGCCTCCGCCTTCACCCACCTCTAGCACCTCCTACATTTATTAATTCAATCCCATCCCTCTCTCTACTCCTCTCTTTCTCTCTATCTCCCTCTAACCTAAAAGTTTCAAAATGGGAAAAAGCTCCTTCATCTTATCTTTAAACTCATCCCCCTTAGCCAACTGATTTGTATATAACCACAATCACCTCATCAATCGCATCCTCAATCTTCTTATCAACCGGAGTCAACTTCTCACCAAGCTTCTAATCTTTTGCTGTGTTCCTCATGTTATACGTATAATTCACTAAAGCATTCTTCACCTCCAACTTCTTCTTGGGCTCCTCACCTCTAGACTCATACTGCCCAGCTTCCTGAACCATCTTCTCAATCTTATCCTTTGAAGGTCTTCCCTTGTCATTAGTAATTGTAATATTGTTGTTTTGCCCTGTACCTTGCAATATTATCTTTCAAGAAGACCCTTCACATGCTTTCCCAAATTGGAACGATACCAGATGTAAGTTTGGAGACGAAAAGCCGCCGCTGTCCCCCTTCCATCGGTACTACTTCATTTTTTCATATTGCGCTGTGTTCCTCATGATTGATTAGTTTTTGTTAGAAAATGTCATTTGGTTTCCAATCCTGTATTTATTTCTCAATTTTTTTTGGTTCTGTGAGAATTGAAAGGCCATATATTTTGATCAACATAATGTGCACATTATGTGTTTGTTAAAATGTCTAAACCAAATTTTAACCTTTAGTAGACCACTTAACGTATCACATCAGCCATGATACATTTTAAGCTTTAGTGCACAT